ACTTGCTGGGCTCTGGTGATCCTTCTGCCTCAGCCTTCCAAGTAGCTGGAACTACAGGCGTGTGCTAACACAACCGGCTAATTTTTTTGTTTTATTGTCGAGATGAGGTCTCACCAAGTTGCCCAGGCGGGTCTCGAACCTGCGGGCTCAGGCAATCCACTCAACCTCAGCCTCCCAAGGCATGGGATTACAGGCTGAGCCACCGAGCCCAGCGATTAAAGATAATTTAATAGCTGAGTCATCACACACTGTAATTAAAAAGTTTGAGACACCTGGCAACACCGAGGAGTAAGCAACTCTGTTTAAAGGGGTTGGAAAAACTTCCAGAAAGAGTAAACATTTGAGCTAGGATTTGAAAGGTGAGAAGGAGTTTACCATTAAGAACAGAGTCTCCTGGTTAAAAGCTTCAGAAATATCTGGGTTTTAAATTCTGATTTTAAGCCGGGCTTGGTGGCTCAGCCTGTAATCCCCCGCCTTTGGGAGGCTGAGGTGAGTAGATTGCCTGAGCCTGCGGGTTCGAGACCTGCCTGGGCAACTTGGCGAGACCTCATCTCTACAATAAATCAAAATGAGCCGGGCATGAGACAGAGTGAGACTCCAACTCAAAAAAGTAAAATAAAATAAAATAAAAAATAAAATAAATTCTGATTTAAATCTGGCTTTTAATTCTGACTAGCAGTGTGTCCTTGGGCAAGTTAATTAACCTTAGCCTTAGTTTCCTCATATGCTAAATAGGTTCACTGGTAACATCTCTTTCTAAAGGCAGTTATGATGTTTGAGTAAGATGTCATTTGTCACCTGTTTGCACAGTGCCTGGCACTCGGTGCCTGCTCAATAGAATGTAATAATCAATTACTGTTTTACCACTTTTATCACCTGGGGGAAAGGGCATTGTAGGCTGAACACAGGCCTGGAGACGTGAGAGTGTGAGGTTGGAATGCTGTGTTGAGCAGAGATGTGGGTTTCTAGCAGGAACCAGGAGAGATGTTCTTCCACCCCGGGGCCATCTGCCCAGCCTCGAGTCATCCTTCCCTCTCAGGTGGAGATGGGCCCCTTCAGGCACACAGTGGACGACGGGTTGGATGTGCGGAAGGCGGCCTTCGAGTGCATGTACTCGCTGCTTGAGAGCTGCCTGGGCCAGCTGGACATCTGTGAGTTCCTGAACCACGTGGAGGATGGGCTAAAGGACCACTACGACATTCGGGTAGGACTGAGTCCCGTGCCAGACCAAGGGACAGCCAGGTGCTACTGGGCCCATGCTTGTTTGTCCCTGCTCCCTGTGCTCAGTACCCCTGTGAAAATGGCTACATTGTTGTTTTCTGACCAGAAAAGGAGCCCATGTCTCAAATACCTCTGGGTGAGAGTGTACCCTGGACAAGCTCTTTGAAGCATGGTTTGGTGGTAACTAGAAAATTCCTTGACATTCTCTTTGACACACACACAAGGTGTCTGGGCTGACTCCTACACGTGTTCCAAATTTTGTGTACAAGATTGTGCTTCAACTGGGCTCAGTGGCTCAGCCTGTAATCCCACGCTTTGGGAGGCTGAGGTGAGTGGATTGCCTGAGCCCGCGGGTTCGAGACCTGCCTGAGCAACTTGGCAAGACCACATCTCTACAATAAACCAAAAACTAGCCAGGCGTGGTAGCGCGCACCTGTAGTTCCAGCTACTTGGAAGGCTGAGGCGGAAGGATCGCCGGAGCCCAGCAGGTCGGGGCTGTGGTGGCCGGGAGCGGCCACTGCACTCGTCTGGGCGACAGAGACTCCAACTCAAAAAAAAAAAAAAAAGATTGTGCTTCAGAGCTTTCTGTAAGTTAGAAAAAGCTGGCAGCTATCCAGCTGTACATCCACAGAAAACTGGCTGGATCAATTAGGTACCTCCAGGCGTGTAATCTTAGCACCATTGAAGAGTGAGGCCTGGTTTGGTGGCTCAGCCTGTAATCCCAGAACTTTGGGAGGCCGAGGCGAGTGGATTGCGTGAG